CCACTAAACTTCCCCTTTAGCTCTAGATTATTATTTTTTTAACGCAAACTGTGAAATACAGAAGAATTGCATTCCATGAAGACGTTGTTCTACTTAAAAATACAAATAAAACGTAAAACTTGTGGAATGGTTCAGTAATCTGCAGGATAGTACTATGGAAAAACTATTAAATAGACACTAAAATCATACTTTGAAAACATTTTTTTAAGCCAGGCGGTGGTGGCGCACGCCTTTAATCCCAGCACTTGGGAGACAGAGGCAAGTGGATTTCTGAGTTCCAGAGTTCGAGGCCAGCCTGGTCTACAGAGTGAGTTCCAGGACAGCCAGGGCTACACAGAGAAACCCTGTCTCGAAAAAAAACAAAAAAAACAAAAAAACAAAAAAACCAAAAAAAGAAAGAAAAAAGAAAACATTTTTTAAAAAGAAGTTTTACTTTATTATTTTATGTAAATAGGTACTCTGCCTGCACATATGTCTGTCTGTGTGTGCCTCATGCCCTTGGAGGCCAGAAGAGGACATTTGACCTCCTGGGACTGGAGTGACAGATGGTTGTGAGCTGCCATGTAGACACTGGGAATCAAATATTTTCTTCCTGGCTTTTTGCAGCGTTTGTTTCCCTTGTGTTTTAAACATTGAGCCCGCATCTCATGATGTAGCTCTGGTTGGCCTGGACCTTACTGTGCAGAGCAGGTTTGTCTTGAACCTGTGTCAATCCTCCTCTGCCTCCTGAGTGCTGAGACTGCAGGTCTGTGCACCATGTGTGGCAGTATTTCTGGTTTTTTACTGACCATGTAGTTGCTTCACTAATGAGGAAATAAGTGTTAGAGCAAGAGCAACACGTAAGAAACTCTGCTTTGTGAGTTCAGAGTCAATGTTAGAATATGTATTTATCAAGTACAACGAGAACATGGGGACTCTGCAGAAGCAGAGCTCACACTCGTAAAGGCCTGGCTTCCGTCCATCGCAGCACTGACCCTCCCAGGGTCAGAAATGTACTCTGGCAGTATGCTATCTGCAATCTTTGAACAAGGGTTCTAGTCCTGGCATTAACCTTAAAACCACACAACACTAAAATTCAAAAGATGAAGAACATCTAAGTTAGCCTCTGTAGCAGTTTACTCAGGGAGAGGAGTGACAAGACTCTCCTTAGCATCACTAGTAGAGAAGACAAGGCTTACAGAATTCCACTGACTATATCTGCACTACTACAGACAGCAGGTTGCTTTTTAATCTATGAACAGTGGGAAACCTTGAAGAAGAACTTTTATTCCTTTCTATACACAGCAAGTGGTGTGAGATCTGGAGGCTATGTGTAATCTAGCAGCCTAGGCGGGCAATGCAAACATGATTGAGTGAACACTTCAAATGCGGCCTCTCTACTTAACTGGCTTAGGTTTTTTGCTTCTCCTCTTCCTCCTCATTTCTTTTCAGATCAATTGGTTATTTGTATGTATTAATTGTTATATGTGTGTCTACGTGAGTTTATGTTATACATAAATGCATGCCTGCAGGTGTCCCAGAAAGCTGGAGGGCCTCAGGTTCCTTGAGATGAGACAGGGAGTTGTGAGATGCCTAATGTGGATGCTGGGAACTGAAAGAGCTATAGGCACTTTAACCACTGGGCCATCTTTTCAGCCCTATCTTTTAAAAAAAAAATTTTTTTTAAAGACAGGATCTTACTATGTAGTCCTGGTGGGCCTGGAACTCTGTAGATCAGGCTAGCCTCTGCCTCCCAAATGCTGGGATTAAAGGGTTCTTTAATTAGCTATTATAGACAAAAATGGGTAAAATGTTTGTCCTTAGGTACATTTTTCAAAAAGTCCAAGGGCTAAGTACTATTGTAAGGAAGAAATGGTTCACAGGCTAGCAAATGCAACACACAAGTATCTTTTCCATGAGTGGAACAAAGGAGAGTGTTCCTGAACTGCTTTGCATATTTCCATGATCACAATTGACCCGCAATCTACTAAGTACTAGTAATGTAAGCTGTATGTTTCACTGCTGTAGGAAAGTCAGGTACTAACTTCTGGAGAAAGTGGTTTATAAAGCCCAGTTCCAATTCTCTCTCGCTTTAATGTACCTACCTGCCCCACAGATGCCACTCCACAGAGAGCTACGCTACGTGATCTCCATTACTGCATTAACTGGACACAAAGAAAACAGAGCACTATTGTATTCTCTTGTCCCTGAGAGATGAGATAGACGGTCTGCAGCTTAACTTGACTCTCAAAGCAACTCTTCTGCGATGAATCGGCGAGAGGCTGCGTGCCGAGGCTGATCAACAGAGACCCGCAGCGTGGCCTTCACTTTCCATATGACCTCTGCTTGTGGTGCCTTCTCAGTCATGCCAGAGCCTGCCAGCCTGGGGTGTGTGCCTGTGCGTGCGTGTGCGTGTGCATGGTGACCTCTTTCTCTCTGCCTCTGAAGAAATCCTTTTCACTGTAATGGCAAGCACACTCAGGAAGGGCTGGTGCGGTTCTAGTTAGGAAGGAAATGTGGTTAACTTAAATTGGACCTGGGGTGCAAATGAAGGCTGCATCAATCAATGACTGCTGTGGTCAACTATGCCTTTTTATTTCCATTATTGAAAAATAACTGATCTTCAAAGGGTTTAGCTATATTCTGAATCTTAACTGCTTTGAAGAGACGCAGATGCTTTAAAGGGCAGGGAAGTTGGAAGGGCAGGTGAACAAAGCAGTACTATATGTATTTTTAAGGGAAATTTATTAGCTAATGGTAAAATCAGCAAATGGTGCTTGCTCAGTGGCTGTCTCGTTACATCAGTAAACCTTCAGAGCCTTTGTCGTTGCTTCTGTTCTTTTTCCAAACAGATTATGTATTTTAAAAACCACATGGGACTTGGAATCTAACTAAAAAACAAACTCTGAGTTCAAACATATTAATGAATGAGATTTAGACATTAAATTTGAATGCTATTATCAGCTCTAAATTGTAAGATTTTCTTCCATAAAATGAGAACATCTCCCAAGGATGAGCCTACTCATCTCAGGTAACATGAGCAACGTAACTGTCAAACCTGTGTAACAAGTTACTATTGTTGCTCTTAGGCTGACACAGGGAAGCTAACACTCTCGTAAGTGATTAGTGAAGGGATAATCACAGTGCACGGATAGTAAGAGTAGGTGAATTACGAGAGCAAACCAATGAGAACATGCTCACTCCAGGGTCTTAAGTGCATGTGATGTGTGCATATCTATGACCTCAGGGTGGGAAGGGGAAGGCTATGACTGGCCGAGGTGGGAGGATTACATGGTGTGTGTGCTTGCTTGCTTCTGTTTTTTCAGACAGTCTCAGTATCTCAGGCATAGATGTTATTATGTAGCTCACATTGGCCTTGAACACATGGCAGCCTGTGTGAGTTCAGCCAAACTTATCGTGACACCTTGTCTCAACAAATAAATACCACCAAAAACAAAGCTAACAGATACTAGTAATTAATGAGCACTTTCTATGGGACTGAGTCGGATGCCTCAGAGACATCCCAGGTGAGAACAATGTCCCAGCTGCATCAACAGACTTTAGGCACGGTTAATGGAAGCTATCAAACCATGGTTAGTTAGGGTAAAGCAGGAGTAGAATAAGAAAGAGGCTAAGAGCATAGGGTTTTAAGTTCGAATCCTAGGTAAGTTGTGTAATCTTGAGAAGTCAATCATTCACATCTCTCATCGTGAGCAGCACCCGCCCTCTTGAGAGACTTTTGTGAAAAACAAATGAAGAAGCAGGTAAATGACTTAAAATGTCATTTGTTTATCGGTCATCATCTTCATAGGATACGCAAGGCAACTTCCGGTGAGTAGACCTCGATCACAAGCTACCTCCACCATTGCTATTAACCTTCCGTCTCACGGAGAGCCGAGCCACTCCTGTCTTTGAAAGTCTTGCAAACAGAGTTCACATCTTGTGAGGTCCCCACACTCCAACGTGCTCTGTAGGTGAGGTGAGAGACGCCTCATGGGGACGGTGCATCCGTGAGTCACATGTTAGCAGATGTCCGAGGCCCATTCCACTAGCCACTGCTATCACCTCTGGCACTCCCGAGTTATACTTCAGATTTAATCGTTTTAAATCTAAGTTGCTCATGCCCCACGCTTCACTCTTAGTAAAATTTGCCTTTATTTTTAAGGGGACGTGTTAGCGCTTAGGATGTGCACACAGCGTCTTTTTCCTAGTTTGCAGTGAGTTAATGCAGCTCGCTAATGCAGGAGTTAAGGGAGCTACAGTGTGAAACAGGGAGAGGAACCTTCTAACAGTAGCTATCACGGAGAATGGCCGTGTGAGCAACGAAGCATGCACTTCACAGCCAATCTCCCACTGAAATGAAATAATGGCATTTTAAGGAAATAAAACCTAACCTTTCTTGAGATGACCTGTTAAATGAGTCAAAAGCCCTAATTCTAAACCTATAAAATTAATCAAAACAATCCAACTGTGCAACTGTCCTAGTTTCTACCACGGAGACTCTAATAATGCAGTAATGTCTGGACCTTGGCTATAAGAGACATTTCACTCCTGCTCCCACCCTTCCTGACAGCCATGCTTAAGCTCGCTGTCTGATACAGAGCCTCCTTTCTCTGGGGAGAGGCTGGCTCAGGCACTCCGAAAAAGCAGCCCTTCCTGCCAGCAGCCCCTTATGACTGTGCTACCTGCCAGCCAGCAGTGCCCTGGTGTCTGCCGGGCTGCTGTGGACCAAACAGATTGAGATTCCAGTCAGGGGAGCAGAGGTTGCTTTAATTGGCTAAAGCTGGTATGTACTGAGCATATGGCCATGAATTTGTAGCCAAAACACTAATCTAAAAAAAAAAAAAAGAAAAAAAAAAAAAAAAAAGAAAGAAAGAAAGAAAGAAAGAAAGAAAGAAAGAAAGGAAAAGGAAAAATCACACACAGTTTAAACATAAAACAGGAAGGAAACGTTTGTCGCCTGGCCTCACTTCTGCAGCAGTACTTTAACCGGGACGCTTTACAAGTCTGCAATTCCGTACCTTGGTGGAAGCAGAGTTTTCCTGGTATACTCCATGCACCAAGTCCATAAGAGCACTTGCTAAAAGCTCCACAACCTAAAGAGACAAGAAAAACAAGTGGAATGAACAACCCAAGGTAGCAGCTCCATTTAGTCACAATGCAGGATTTGAACAGAGCATCTGAACAGAGGATCAATGAACTATTAGCTCAATTAATTTTCTGCATGTGTATTTCTGTCAAGTGGCTACTTTTCCAGGACTCCCATTCTCGGAGCCATGACAATGGTAATTTTCATACTCAGTACAGAAAGAACAAACAACAGTAAGAAAATAGCTCACCTTTCAAATGTGTTTGTTCTATTGTACTTAAAATACACTATGGAGTTGGATGGGGTAGCACACACTCCTAAATCACAGCACTCTCCTAAATCACAGCACTCTCCATGCAAAGTCAGGCAGATCTTGTGAGTTCAAAGCTGGTCTGGTTTACCTAGCAAATCCCAAAACATCTGGGACTAAACAGAAAGACCCTGCCTCAGAACAACCGAACTATTTATTGTAGGGTACTCATTGGTGAAGACTGATGGGCCATGGGTTTAAGCCAATAGAAAGTCTTTATTACCTGGCTGGCAATTACACTGGGTGTTTGGGATCTGAGCCTTTCTCAGGGTGCGCTTTTAAGCACAAGAACCATGTTCTGGATTGACATACTTCAGTTAACAAGAACAGTTAGGCAAAAGCAGAACTGCAGAATACAGAAGCCAAAAAGCAAGGTTAGTCCATTTAGAGGTGTTCCCAGAACTACGGGCTTTAACGGAGTAGGCCTTTGCTTTAGTTCCAGCAGGTTGTGCTGTGTGCTGAGTGTTACAGCCTCAATGTATTTCCATCATGCAATCAGTTGTGTTAATGTCTCAGGTCCTGTTACACCAACAACAGTAAAATATGCATGATGAACATAGTTAGCATAGGACCCCTGGGTCAAATATACCACGAACACTGAAAATTTTGACAGAACTATTAAAAAAAAAAATCAAGCAAAATCAAAAGTGTTGAATTTGTTTCACAGTGTGAAACAAGCAGAAAACAGTAAATGGTTTCTTTGTCATTGTTTACATAAAGCATCTTAATTCAAGAGGATAAAACAGCTAGACAGTTGGTAATGTTCAGTGCAGCCACTTCAAACAGGAGTTCCTCAAGGCAAGTCCATCCTCTTCTTACAGAGCCTTCGCATGTGTTTAGCTTCTCATGCTGTGCAGTCTGTATCTGAGCTCTACTCTTGGGTTTCCTGAAGTTTAGCTCAGTTCTGATTGAATTAAAGGATTTTGTTTCAGCTTTTATCATTGCTGTAACTGAAGTAAGGCAAGGGGTACACACTGAGACATGAAGATACTTTAATCTCTGGTATCGTGTATTTAATACACATTGTCTTAGAGGGAAATACCATCGATTTGGAAAAGAGCTGCTTTAAAACTGTAACACATGGACATTACCTTTATTTACATTCACCGCACACTGCCGGTGATGAGGAGATTTTGCTGATTAAAGGCATCTTTTTCTAGCTCTGCACATGAGCTAATTTATATGACCCATAGTTTTTTTTTTCTCCATTCTTCAAATGACATTGTCCTATAAGTAACTGAATACTTAAGGAATATTATAGCAATACAAGCTACAGAGGAACTGGAAGCACAGTGACCCTATAGTACTACCAGATGTGCTAAGTTATTTAAGTGGGGAAGAGAAAAAAAAATGAATGGATGTCTTTCTCCTCAAAGTATCAGATAAGCCCTATTCCCAAATCCAGAAGGATTGAGTATCGCCAATAGGTCTATGAAAGTCTGTAACTAAACACACAGCAGCAGACTGGATTACAGTTTATACAAGCAACATCCCAAGAGCTCCCTGATGGCTGGACACATAATACAGATCAATCACTCACTAAGAGATGTTATGGTTTTGAAACAGTTGCGGCTCAGAGACCAGTTCTGGTCACGTGAAGAGGGGTTTACAAAGAGAAAGTCCAACGTGCAATGTCAAAATGACGGCATGAACTTTTAACAGCAGATCTGGCTCTGGATAACCAAGGTTTCCTTTACCCCTGAAATACCAGATGAGGCAGAAGCAACAAAAACACTGTGTTCTAACATTTTTTCTTAGTATGTTCATAGTTGATACATAAATGACCTGTGCGTACAAGTGGCTTTACTCAAACACAAACCTCTACAGCTACGGTGAGCAGAAGGAGACACAGGCGGAGGGGAGAGCACAAGACCAGGAACAGTCTAAAGGAGCTGAATGCGCCCTAGGCTAATCTGTACACTGCACATACACATGCCTTTTCAGAGCCTGGAATGTTCATTTAAATAACTATATCAGAGAACGATGGATTTAACTCTCATCCTTTAAATCTGCAAACACTGAGATAGAGCTCCTTCATAAGGCAGTCAACTTATTTCACACTTGATTGTTTTCCTATTCTTTCTTTTTTGAGACGGAGGCAGAACTGGCTGAACTCACAACGTAGGCCAGGCTTGTGTCCGACTTACAGAGCTCTGCGTTAGAGTGCTAGAATTATAGGCATGCCGGGCTCAGATTCTTTAAAAAATATAGTTATGTGTATGTGTGTGTACCTGCTTGTTTGCCTGTGTGCCATGTACTTTCAGGTATCCGTGGAGGAGAGAAGAGGGCCCCCTGGGACTGTTACAAGTAGCTCACAGCTGCCTCATGGGGTGCTGGGAACCAATCCAGAGTCCCTGCAAGAACACCTAATGCTTTTTACCACTAAGCCATGTCTCCTGTCCCAACTTGAGACTCTTGGAAAATAATCTATGTCATCAACAGTGCTATCAAGGGCTGGCAAGATCAGTTCAGTGCGTAAAGATGCTTGCTGCCAAGCTGGCAATGAGTAACCCCTGAGACCCACATAGTGGGAAGAAAGTCACTGTCTTCTCCAAGTTGTCCTGTGACTGCCACATATGCACTGTGTGTGTATTTGTGTGTGCACGTGCTTGTGTTTGTGTGCGATTTAAATATAATTTTAAATGTGACTGTGTTGTGTGTATGTGTGTGTGTGTAATTAAAAAAAATATTAAAGCCAATGGAAATAACGACACCCAGAGGGGAATCTAGAACCTAGAGTCAAACCCCTGAAACTTTCTCTCCAGGCATTCTAGACAAGAATAACCTTGAGAAAAAAAAAAACAAGGTCTTTGTTCTTCAGACCAAGGGAAAGGCAAAGTAGAAGCCCCTGGCAGCCCAAGGGAAGGCAGACGCAAGAGAACAAAGCAGATCCAAGAACGAGACCGTCTGCATGCTGTTTCAGGCTCGCTATACATCTCTGCTAGACTTGGAGTTGATCAGTTCAGAGTTCTGTTTTCTTCCGAATGTAAGGTGAAGAGAGCTTCACAAAATGGCTTGTTAGGGTTCTCTGTAGCTTGAAATTCTATTAGAAATATACATTTCAGCCAGGTGTGTGGTACAAATCTTTAGTCTCTGCACTTGGGAGGCAGAGAGGCAGAGAGGCAGAGAGGCAGAGAGGCAGAGAGGCAG